CGCGGCCCTCCCGCGACTCTCCTCGTCCTCATTTACCGCTCAGCGGCGGTAAAGGTCACGCGAATGTCTGCTCTGCTGTGGCTTTAGATTTGCTTCCAACTTGTTGGTGGAGGTGTTGAACAGCACTTGGGCAAAAGCCCAACCCCTCCTTGGGATGCCGATTCCTCTCTGACAGCCCTGGCGGGGCTTGGCTCTGTTGACTGCTGGCTACACAGATGGCAGCACGGGGGTCCCACGGAGAGACAGCTCCTTATTCCCCTTCCTGTCAGCAGCGCGGGCCAAAGTGCAAGCCCAGCCTCCTCTGCCCTTCTGCAGAGCAAAGCCGGTCGCTTCATCTTCAGAGCTGCAGACCCAGCAGGACCCTGTGTGGGTTTTTCCCCCCCCCCCCCAACTTGACCAGATCCCCTCCAGGGCATGCGCCAGCCGCCCTCTGCCCTGGCTGTTTCTTTGCTTGCCCTTTGCTGGTACCTCCTGGGCAAAGCACGTTAGGTGTGCTGAGAACGAAGGGCCTCTGCACAGGACTGGCAGCACTGCGATAACATGTGCTATCAGCGCCTCGTCCCCTCCTGCCTCCTGGTTTGGCGGTTCCCCTGCCGCACAGGTGCACCACCAGAAATCAGTGCTGCTTGCCCCAGGGCGCTCAGCCTGGCGGCTCCACCGGTAATGCATCAGCGAGCTTTCGCAGGCAGGAAAACCAGCTCTTACAGGCGCTGCCCGAAAATCTGGAGGGTTCGAGCAGGAAAAGCCAACCAGCAGCCCTGAAAACAGCCTCCCGCCTCTCCACTCACTTCCCCCTTTCATATCTCTATTGTCTCACCTTTCACGGCCGCGCGCCTTCGTGTGGCTCAGCTTTCTGTGCCATTTGTTCGGCTTGTATTTGTCATTTACAACATGACACTAACAAGCAAAGCAAAGGCAAATTGGCGCTCAGACACAGGGCACGGCGGTGACAGCACCGAGAGGAGCAGCCCAGGGCAGGGCTGCGTGAACGTGATGCACCAGCGCACGGACTGAAGCTGAATCTGGCCAGGGGCTGAATTCCCTGGATCGCACTTAGCAGCATCTTGCCCTGCCCCTGTCATTTGGTCCCCTCAGGTGAAGGCAGAGGCTTCAAGTTGAAGTAGAGGCTTCAGGCATGAGGGACCTCTCCAAGGTTATTACACATACAGGTTGCAAACAGAGCCACGTCAGGCTGGGCTGGCCACCCCCTCCCCACCCCCAACCAAAGTTAACAATCCGCAAATGACTCATGTGCACCTACTCATTTTGCACGTATAAAGCTCCAAAGTATGTTCAGAAGGGTGCAGTTATTGCTGGCTAATTAGTTTATTATTATATTGTGTTCGCCTACTGCGTGTCCATTTGCAGTTTGCAGCAATTTCCCCGTGTGGGGTGGCAAACGTACTTTGCAATTAGCCCCGTGGGCAGCTGGGCTACTGTAATAAACCTCTCCCGGCTCTCCCTCCTCATTAGCAAAGTTTCACTTGATGAGCTTTTATGGCAGGGGAATGTGCATCTCTGAGCAAGATTTTGGAAGAGCATCTTTGCCTTGAGTGGGGATTACGGCACTGAACTATACGTGCTCGTGCTCATTACTATCAAACATTTACCCAGAGTGAGTGCTTCCAGGGAGCAGAAGTAAATCCTTACCATCAGCTGCTTGATAGTTGGATGTTCTTCTGTCTCTCTGCCTGAGGCCGGCTCCTTGTGTACTATCTCCACGCGGATATCGTTCTTGGCGGAAACCACACCTTTCAGATCTGCGCAAAGAGGGAGACGGAGAGGGGGACGGGGTTAGCTGAAGACAATTGTGCCTGAACAACCTCAGCGACCGGACTGATTGCCAAGGATGACTGTTCCCTGCCGAGGAAAATTAACCCTCCCCAAGCCAGAGCGCTGCTGAGCAACTCGGGGTTGGCCCCTTGCAGACATAGCCTGTCTTTGGCGATGAGGCATGGCGCAAACACTCCAATGGTGGGATGTTTGTCCAGGTTGCTGAGCTATAGAGTACGCTTTAGGAGTCTGTGAAAAAGCTGCTCTTGAGGGGCTTAATGCACACTCTTCCCTCGTGCTGGGAAGCCTCTGAGAAAAGCTATCCCCAAGTTTGGGGTGCAGCTACGAATGCTAAGCAATAGGCTTAAGGCAATTAAGACTAAGCAATGAACTAAGACTTAAGCGAGAATTTTTTTGGAAAGACTGTGAAATCATCCCTGGCTCTTGCTCCAAATAGCCTGTTTTCACACAAGGCAATGCAAGGCCTGGGAGACAGAGATGTTTCTGGAGACGCTCTCTGGTTTCTCCAGAGGTGTCAGGCATGCTTTGAAGAAGTCATTTTAGAAAAATTAAACCAAAGAGACCGAGCAGCAGGAGAAGAAATGGCTGTGCAAATCTGAGATGAAAAGCGAAGATGGATGCAAATCTGAACAGCAAGCTCTAAACAGCTCCCAACTCTGAAGCCAGGCTCCAGCCTGCGATCTGCCTCTGCGTACCGCAGCTGGCTCTCGCCTCCCAGGATGGCTGGACCAACTCTCGTGGATTCGATGTGCCTGCAACCTCTGGACTTGTCAGATCTGTCTCCAACGTACGTTGCCGAAGGAGCTGACAGAGCCCTGCCAAGCGAGGACTGAGTCAGTCCATTAACACAGCCTCTTGTAGGGGGCTGAGCAGTTGGCTGTGCATCACCAGCCGCCGCATCCACCGAGCACCAGGAATACAGCCAGACCTTGGAGAGCTCCTCTAACCAGCGCAAGTGCCAGAAAAGAGGAGATGAACCCCATCCGGGAGCAAGCCTCAGCTCCTGCTCCTCAAGCCCTCGGGTCCCTGCGGAGCAAGGCCAGGTCTCCACGCTCGCTTCCCGGGGCGCCTATCCCTGCCCCAGCCCTTCCCGCGCCACTTCAGTGTCAGCGTAGCAAAGCTCAAGGCTGGACCATGCAGGAGCGGAAGGTGATTTTATTTTTAAACCAAGCACAATCACTTGCACTCTCACACCCATGCACCTGGCTCTTTGCAGCTTACAGGACAAGCCGTTTTATAACCCAAGCCGGAGACGCGCTAGAGCGGGAGAAGTTTTGAAATGCCTATAAATAATGCATGCTGGCAGCACCTGGGAGGTGAGGGAGCACTGCGGAAACCCAAGGAGATGGGAGCAGAGGCGGGAGACACAAGTCCGGTGTCAGCTCTCAGGAGGTTGGCCAACACATAATCAGGACCCGGCTTGAAGCTCCTTCCTTGAATCAACCCATCTTCTCTCCTTAGTGTCACTCACCCTTCCCTGCCGGAGCTGTCGGAAAGTGCAGCACTGCTGCCATCCAGAGACATCTCCAAGTGCAAGGCGAAAGGTTTTTCTAGGAAGTTTCTATTGCTCTTTCTTGTGTCATCGTTGTCGTCATTGTCTTCTTTTTTTTTTTTTTTTGCTGGTACGACGTTCCTGGTGCTCGAGCCTCCGCAGTTAATCTCAAGGAAAAGCTAATTATTGTCTTGCACATTCTCTCCCGGGGGGGTTCCCCCTTAAATAACTCTGGGCCGTTATGTCACCAAAGATAAAACAACAGATGTGCCATATATTTTTTTTCTTTTCCGGAGAAGAAATGGCCTCCAGGCAGCTCTGTGCACAGCGCAGACTGCGGGCAATAAGGAAACGCCTTTCCCAAAGTTACGGCCGGTCACCTCGTGCCCTCCACGGGAAGCCGTGCGCAGCCATCCCCACCGTCCGCCTGACGGTTTTGTTTGCCGGCAGTCGTTTCAAATGACGCAGCGACGCTCCAGCGTTTGTCCTGGGAGGCGAATCTGCAGCGATCCTCGCAGGAAGCAAGTCCCTCTCCCCACAGCAAGCTGCTCTGTCTGACCCACCAGCGCCGAGCGGCTCGCCGTAATACCTCTGCTGCTTCCGCATCGCTAACCGTGGCGAAAGCCCTTTCCTCACCTTCTCAGCGTGGTGTTTACACCTGTCCAATGCTCACCTGCCACTAGGGATATGTATCAAAGCATCACACACGCAATCCCCCAGGTGCAAATACCCCGAGCGCTTCGGCCGGCAGCCGCAAAGCTCCTGCAATCGTTGCAGCAAAGCCCTTCGCCCTCCCACCGCAAAGACCTCCCCAGACAGGCTACGGGGGGGCTTTGCGGTCCGAGTGTGCTGCGAGGGCTGGCTTGGCTGTGTTGCTGGCGGCATGTCCCCGGGGGTCTCTGAGCCTAGAGGGCTCTTTCCTCGTTGTCTTGTCCCCGCAGTGGGCTGGGGGGCTGCGTTTGTGGGGTTGCACAAGCGT